GGGGGGGCGCACAGGGCTCCATGCCTGTCCACTTCCCCCCCCAATCCCCCCAGTCATTCCTGACGGGCAGTTGGCTAGTGCTTGTATATATGAGACAGATCTCTATGTATATACTAGCAAAGTGCCTGTCAAGAATGATGGGTAGGTGGTGGGGACAGAGTGCTGCCGCTCCGCATCTGGCTGTATGCAACTGCCGCCCTCACTGTTTGTCTGGCTGTGTGCGTCCCCTCCATGCGGGGATGATGGGGCATAGCCATAGGGTGTCACACGGGGAGCGGGTAGGGTGGCGCACGTGTCACAGGGTGCTGCATGGGGAAGGGGCATGCCAGGTGCAGGCAGCACCCGCACCTGCTCCCTGCTCAGTACCCTGCAGCCATGCCCCCCCCCCCACCCCCCCAGGGAGCACCCACCTCCTGCTGGCCACAGAGTGTGTGGCATGTGGGGGCTGGTGCATGGGCACAGGCAGCCCCAAGGGGAGTGGGTAGGAGGATGCAAAGAGCACCCGCCAGCTGCAGCACATGGCCTCAGGGTGAGAAGTGCCTCTCACACCCGCTCCCCACAGGGCACCCTGCAGCTATGTGCCATGCCTCTCCTGTGTTTTGGGTGCTCCTGGTGCAGGGAGAAGCATGGGGGGGGCAGTGTGGCTGCAGGGTGCTGAGCAGGAAGTAGGCAGGGAGGCGTGCCCCATCCCGCGGCCATGTGCTGCAGCCAGCAGGTACTACCTGTGCCCCTGTCCTCTCCCCTCACTGCACCCTGGGGCAGTGTGCCACACCCCACCCCCCACAGTTGCAAGCCACGCCCCCCACAGCGGCAAGCCATGCCCCTGCATAGCTGGTTCCCACAGCAGGGAGCACAGCCTGGTCCCGCCTGCTTTGGCCCCCGCTTCCACCTGTCTGTCTGTCTGTCTATCCTAAGGCTCCGGGCCGCACATGCACAGTTGGCCCAGAGCATTATGGACAGACAGACAGAAATGGGAAGTCTTTTATTATATTCTAGAGAGAGAGAGAGATTTTGAGAGAGAGCTATCTCTATGTGGCGTTTCATTTTAATCACAGATTTGTGGTTTTTTAATCAGACAATTTGCATTTTTTTTAAACAAAAAACCAGGATCCCTGGTTATAGTATAAGCAGTGGACAATAAATATGAATTGGTGTTGTGCTTTGTACTGATTGAATACTACTGAAAGTAAAAGGAAGTACGCACAAAGACACTTACCTTCTCTTGCCTTTCGGTTTGTACTTGATTAACATAGAAGGCTTGGATACAGTTTTCAATGCAATAAAAAATGGGAGGTAGAGGTCAGACTTTGTGCTCCAAAATACAGAAAGATTGGAGAGTTAAAAGGAAAGCTTGAGCTCTGGACTTATTTATGGCTTATTTATACACTCCTATGGTTAATGAACTGAAAGGTGTTTAGCTAAAAAGAGAGGCTGCTGTCAGATGTGGGGGAAGAAAACAAAGTGCTTTACCAGAAGAGGAATCATGTTAGTTTGACCCAGCTCCCCAGCATCTGTATACGTTTGGCTGTTTCAGCAGGGCTTTTTGGCGCTTTTATCTAAAGCTGATTCAGTCAGTCATTACAAGCGCCAAAAAGTCCCGCTGAAGCACACAACCTATACAGATGTTTGGTGTGCCTGGTCGAACTAACATGATGCTTCTGGGCATGCGCTGCGCTTGGTGTGGGGGTGCACTGAGTTAAAGTAAAGCACTGTTTGTTTTGGTTTTTTTCATGTCTCAGCAGCCAAAAGGAGTAACGGCTTCTTTAAAAGGAGGGTTTTTTTGGTTGGTTTTGGGGGGGTTGTTTGTTTGTTTGCAATATCAATGCCTAAACTAGGAAAGACATTGATAGGGAATTAAATTATGCTTGGCCTTCTAAAAAGTTGCTCCATTTGGAAGGGCCAAACAGCTAGAAATATCTTTGTCTGTGTACTGCTTGTTTCATCTTCAGATGAGGTTATTATAGGAAGTAGCAAGTGTTTATGTTACAACAGTCCTTAAAATTGCCTGCTGGGATTGTGGCTGCATGTGCTGATCACCATACAAACAGAAATCACATGATTGATTGTGCATAGTCTAAAGGCAGAACAAATGAAGGCAAATGGAATGTAGTTATGTGAAGGATTAAATTTTGAAGTGGGTACAATGCTACCTTTTGGTTTAGTAGCTTATTCTTACTCTGAATATTTTTATGGCTCATAAGCTGCCAAGTACATGTAGCATAGAGGAATTTGCAATAAGGCAACATGTTTAACTTCATCCTGCTGACAAATATAAATTGTGAAATGGTATATGTTTTTCTTGATGAAACCTTTAGTGAACCATCACTAGCTAAAGAACAGTCAGACTGAAATATATCTGTGCTTCACAAGTATAGGGGGTAGATGTAGCTCTTTCCTGTAGTCAAGTGACAAATGGGTTTTATGCAAATAACAGTTCTTTTTCACTTGCAATATTGAAGTCAGTTTAAAATGGCAGGAAGTTGATTAGGAAGGTAGAAGAAACTTGACTGATTAGAATAAAGGGAACAAGAAGGCTATCTTGCTTCTTTCCATTTGGAGAGGAACTTATATATCACTGGGAGAAACAGCCAGATTAGCCATGTAATTAATACTGTATTTTGAAAAACCTCTGCCTTGAAAGTTTCTGATCAGTTTGACATTGGGTATATTTTAAATTTGCCCTCTGTGCATAAAAGAACAGTGGTTAATGCATCAGGGGAATAGAGTTGCTAAACTTGACAATCTATTTAAGATGTTTTACTGGGTGCAGATGTTTTTTGAAATCTCCAGAAGCAAATCCATTTCTGTAGACCACAAGATGAAAGAGGAGTTAATAGCTTTCATAGCAGGAAGTTTTTAACATTTACATTGTTTTCATGTAGAAAGGCCAATGGATTAGATTTGACAGAGATTACCAATAAGAACTGGTCCTCTTAAACTGTTTCTTTGCCTTTTAAGTGTTAAAAATATAATTTGATTATCAGCTAATAAGTTTCTTTGGCCCAGTAATGATTAAGGAAGCTATTGATGTCTTTACAGTGATGTGAACCGTATTTGATTGGAATGTAAAGTAAGAGTCAATACAAGCAAAATTATCAGAATCTGGATCATAATGTTTTTGTTCATTAGCTCAAATGTAGAAACATATTTTCCACTCCCTTTCTCACCCCTTCCCCCCCCCCCCCCCAAAAAAAAAAAGTTTATGGCTTTGCAGAAAGTTCTCTTAAATTGTAGGCATGAACAGAATGATCCCAATGAGAGAGCGTTCTAAGACAGAAGAAGATATACTCCGAGCAGCATTAAAATTTGGCAGCAAAAAGACTGGAAGTAATCCAACGTCCGCTTCTGATGAATCAAATGGGTTGGAATGGGAGAATGATTTTGTTAGTGCTGAGATGGATGATAATGGCAATTCAGAGTATTCTGGATTTGTGAATCCTGTACTAGAACTTTGTGTGTCAGATGTCAAGAAATCTGATACTAATCAAGACAGATAGTAAAATTACATTGCCCTTGTTCATGACCAAATGTTTAAAATTAAATGGAAAGGATAGAAATGCATTGTCTTTCTGTAAGAAAAAGGAGGAAATCATGTGATAAAGGTCACTTGCGAGGAACAGAAATGACTTGCAATCTGAATGATTTCAGAATTAAGTGCAATTTTATCATCTACCTTCTAAATTTTTATGAAAATTGAGGTGATTCTAATGTGTATATTTCTGGATGTCTGGGTTTACTATAAATTATCTGCACTAATTTAAGCATCATAGCTTGACATACCTATATTTTAACTAGCTATTTTGTCTTGATAATATTTCTACTGATTTGTTTTTAAAAGTTGTCATTAGCCTAATATTTATCTCGGAAATAAATAGTCTGTATAAGTTCTCTAATACTTGAATGTGGAAACTGAACATTTTATAGATTGTATTTATTTCCATTATGTGGTGGTTGATTTGCTTTTCAACATTTTGGAAGTAGTAGTCAGCAATTTATCACACGTGAAATTGACTGTTTACAACACTTTTTAATCCCTGTTTAATGCATTTTTCTTGCCTCTTTCATTTTAATTATTTCCTTACTTAAGCACAACAAATCTGGGTAATGTATTAAAGCATCAGTTTAGACAAGAGCCTATAATAAGGTCTTGTGCATACCTGGAAGTAGGCTACAAAAATATTTTTTTTTGCTGGTTCTGTGTGTGCAGTGCAGATATTGACACTCAATTATCTACAAGAGAACTTGGAGGACCAAAGGTTCCATTTTTTCCCCTTAAAATGCACCAAATGCTGCTAATACAAGGTTACTTAATTGAACATTTTCTCACCTTGTGCGGCACAATTTCGTCAGCTCCACATGAGTTTAGGCAGCATTACATGAACAGACTGGGAGTACAATAGAAAACAAATTGCTCTTCTGCTAGGTTTTGGAAGAAGCTCAACTGGAGTTCTGGTAGCTGTACAAGGAGAAAGACAGATCCTTTCCAATTATGCAGCAGTGCATTCAAGCTTTTTAGCTTTCCTATGCCTTGTAACTGAACAGTTACCATGTAACATCAGCAGATACATGTCTAAACTGTGCAGCCTGCCACATAGTCTCCCATTACATTTGATATACTTTATATAAAATAAAAGCTAACTGAGGAGAACACATAGAACAAAACTATAGTTCTTTTTTTCCCCTGCGATTGCAGTAAAGCCTTACTATGTGTAAATTATGTATTGCTCTGCTTCCTCCTGAACAACGGTTTCTGTGTGTGGTTTCTCATTTTGGAATAAGGGCAGTGCTCTTCCTAAGAATAAGTAGCAGCTAAATTTGTTGGAAAAAATTGACAAGTACTGGCAACCCCCGCTTAACGCTGTTTTGCTTAGTGCTATTTCACTATGATGCTCATTTTAAATTGATACCTGATTTCACTTAGCGCTCAGTGAGTTTCATTATAACACTCGCGGTTGCCACCTTGGGTCATTAAAAACACTTGTAATCGCCATCTTGGGTCATCAAATACTTTCGGTTTCACTTAACGCTTAGTTTTTCAGGAACCAATTAAGAGCACTAAGCGGGGGTTGCCTGTCTATAATAATAAGTTGTGTAAGTATTTTGATATCTGAGCCCATGTCAGGCCAGGGTACTGTAGTTTGATCTTCTTCTCCATGTCTTTTAGCTAAAATAAGAACACCAGACACTTGACCTAAATATGTACATATGTGGACGTCTTAACAAACAGCTAAAACTTTTGTTAATGTATTTAACATTCCATTTCTTAATTTAAACTGTAGCTTTGTCATTGGAAATGTTGTAATGTAATACTTACATTTGCAATGCCTGTATCATGCTTCTAAAAATTTGTATGCATCAAATGTATATTTTTGGTTTGGCATAAGTTACTACCAGGTAATTTTTCCTGACATTCATATGATGAACCCTTGAAGGTTGAAGGAAAGGTAACTTTCTTAAGCTGTAAATAAAGACTTTTTTTACACACTTAAATTGTAGTTTTCCAGTTGTCATTTTTTCTTAAGTTGAAAGCCTAGTAAACTTGTGCTAACAAACTTATCTTCACTAGAAAACTAGTCTTGGATTTGAATAAATATGGTAACAAGGTTTTTACCTCATTTCACATGTTGGGGGAGCGTGTTGCATTTGAGTACAAGGCAGCTGCTGCCACTGATTCCAGGCCCTGACCCAGGATCAGAGCTGGAGCCACAGCCTCTGCCCCAACAACTCCTTGCCCTCCAGCTCCAGCATGGCTCTGGCTGCACTCCAGCCCTACCACGCAGTCTCAAAAATTCTGGTGGCAGATCTGGGCCTGGCTTCAGCTCCAGGGTCTGGCTGGAGCTGCTACTGCTGCAGCAGCTACTGTATGGATGGACTGAGGCTGGAGCAGCTATGTGCTCTAGCTAGAGCAGGGCTGCAGCCAGAAGGTAAGCAGTGGAGGGAACATGAGGAGGCAGTGATGGCAGCAAAGGGGGCAGGTGCCAGAGAGTGCAGGAATTGTGGGGGAAGTGGGTGTAAGTAGTAAGAGCAGACCTGGGGGACAGGTAGCAGGAGAGGCAGGCACTGTGGGGATACTGGAGGCAAAGGCCAGAGGTTTAACCATAATGTCAATAGAAGCCCCAGACATACAGAGCATGAGGAAGAAGGTGGCTGGGATAAGCTTCTGCTCTGTGCTGTATGCGCCTACACACAAGCAGGAGCCATTGCAGTGTGGGGATCAAGCTGACAGAGCCCTGATATTTGGGATAAGAGCAAAGCAGTTCATAGGATCATAGGAACGTAGGGGTGTAAGGGACGTCACAAGTTTTATCTAGTCCAGCCTTGCTCAAATCGGGGTCCTCCCTGACTACACCGTCCTAGTCAAGTGTCTGTTGAACCTGCCTTTGAAGGTTGCCAAGGATGGAGATTGCATAATTTCTCTAGGTAGACTGTTGCAGTGCTTGACCACCCTCATAGTCTAGAAGTTCTTACTAATTTCCAACCTAAGTTATCTCTGCTGTAGTTTAAGGCCATTGCTCTGAGTCCTCTTCCCTACAGCCACAGAAAAAAGTCCATCCCCATCTTCTCTATAATAACCCTTCATGTATTTGACAGTTATGAAAACGTTCCCCAAACTAACCATAGCTTTTTCAACTTTCTAATAAGGCATGCTTCCCAGGCCCCTAATCATTTTGTTGCTCTGCATTAAACACTTTCCAACCTGTCCACATCCCCTTTGAAGTGCGGGGATCAAAATTGGACATAGTAGTCAAGATGAGGCCTCACCAGGGTTGAATGGATAAGAATCACTTCCCTTTGTTTGGATGTCACACTTCTGTTAATAGAATCCAGTATTCTGTTAGGGGGTTTGTTGCATCCTGATAAAGAAGAGGGAAATCCACTTTTTTTCACTAGCTGCAGAGAACAGAAAATGGACCAGGGGCTTGAAGTTGCAGCAAAGTAGGCTCATATTGAATTATCAGGAAAAACTTTTTCACTGTTAGAACAATGATGCCACTGCATAGGGAAGCTGTGAAACTGCTATCATTGGGGGCATTTGGGAAAAGGCTAGATGGCCACTGGTCAGAGATGATCTAGGCACAGGTATGCCTGTGGTCTACTATGGGTATTTCCCATGCTTCTGGACTGTGCTGGTTGCTGCATGGGGTGTGGGGGGAATTTTTTCCCTTCCTACTTTTACATGTATCATGGTTTGTTCAGCCTCCCTCAGAAGCCATGGATGTTGGCTGCAGCTAAGACTGGGGATTTTGACTGGGTGTGCCAGTGCTCCTGCTGGGACTTAAACCCAAAAGTTCCTGTCTAGATGATCTTGCCCCTCTGTTCAGGGTCAGACCAATCACCATATTTGGGGTCAGAAAGAGATTTTACCCCATGGTCACATATGTATTGTGGGGGGGGAGGGGGTATCCTCTGTAGCAGAGGGTGTGGCCCATTTCCTTGGGTCTCGAGCAGATTTTAACAACTTTTGCAGCAGCAGAATGTTGGCTGCTGTGGTTCCCCTGCTCGACCTATGGCAAATTAGACTGTGATGTCTTGTGGCTATGTGAGGGTTGACTGTGTAGCTTTGCTACGATGTTAGACAATAGATTTGTATGGAATGGTTTGGGTACAGATGATCCTGCCTCGGGCTGGAGGTTCGACTAGATCAGCATTTCTCAACCCATGGGTTGCAACCCAAAAGTGGGTTGCAAGAATATATGAAAGTGTCACGAACAAACTTTAAAAGTGGATTCTTCTTTAAAGGAGAAGAAGTGGGAAACGGCAGGTTTCCCCTTGCAGGCTGGCAGTTTCAGCTTGGGCCTTCAGGGAGCAGGAGGAGAGTGATCAGCAGGGATCCAGGTTTTCCATTTCCCACAGAAAAACAGAGAAAACACAGATTTTTACTTTGAGAAGAGGAACCCACGGATTTCGTCTCTTTGCAAAGTGCTCTGCGGGCTGGCTGAATTCCAGCCTGCAAGAACTGTTTGCAAAAGGGTGGGAAAGCCCCAACCCTGCCCGGAGGAGAAGGGCAGGGCCTGACCTTTGCACTTACTGGAGACTGCTTCAGGGTTACTCTTCTTGCTGGAGGTAAGTGGGGCTTGGTTGCAGGGCAGGGCTGGGCCGGGGGGAGATGCTGGCTAGGGGCTGAGGGAGCAGGGAGGTTTGCAGCCAGCTGGGTACTCCGGCCAGCAGGTTTGCAGCCTCCCCGCTCCCAGCCGGAGTGCTCAGCCAGCTGCAAACCCCCACTGCTCCCAGCCAGTTGCAAACTTCCCCTCTCCCGGCTGGAGTGCCTAGACAACTGCAAACCCTAGGTCGTAAAAGCTGCGCTCCCCACCCTGCTGTCCTCCCCCCAAGCCCTCTGGAGCACAGCATGTGCGACTGGTGCAGCAGCACACACTGGGGCCACGCATGAAAGCTGCCTGCTGCTGCAAGCTCTGCGCTGCCCTGGCCATGCTTTCTGTGCGCAGGGACAGTGCAGGGTTGCACCCCTTGCTGCTGCCCCCACCTGCAGAGGAAGCGTGGCCAGGGCAGCACAGAGCTCACAGTGACAGGTAGCTTTCGTGCATTTCCCCCCTGTGTGCTGCCACAGCAGGTTGCACATGCACCCTGGAGCACCTGGGAGAGGGCAGCAGGGTGGGGAGCATGAGCCCACAGCGCACACCCTCCCCCCACCCAATCTGGGGGCCACAGGTCCCCCCTGCCCCTGGGAGTGCACACTGCCACTGGGAGCCGGCCCTGCCTGAGTCAGCAGCAGGCAGGCAGGCGGGGGTGGGAGGGAGGCCGCTCATGCTCCTGCTCTAGAAATCCCTGCCTTTCATTGAGGGCAGGGGGCTTTGAACCCTGACCCCATAGCCCTGGCACTGGGGGCCCCCTCCATTAGGCCTGGGGGGCGGGGGCTGTGGGTGGGGGGCAAGGGGCACAAGCAAGGCTGGAGGGCTATGGGGGACACCAGCAGGGCTGTGGGGGGCATTTAATTTTAACCACGGATTTTGGGATTTTTATCAGCAAATTTGTGATTTTTATCACAGAAAACAAGGATCCCTGGTGATCAGGCAGGGGGGGACACTGCATGTATGTGTGCATACACGCTTGCACATGGTAGCCAGACAGTGTGGAGAGCAGCTTGCACAGCTCTCCACAGATAAGTCTATAGGGCAAGGGGGGCATAGACAATGCATTGGGGGTATGGGGGGAGGCACGTGCCCTCCCAGATTTGTGTGTCCACAGCAGGCACGGGGCTGCAGACTGGCACAGGCAGGAGCCATCTCCATGGCCCAGCTGATAGGACCCAGCATGGGAGGGCAGAGCAGGCATAGAAACTCACTGCCATCACCGGGACCCCTGCACAAGCTGTGCCACCAACACCATGAAGAGTAATGGATATGAGGGATGGATGCACTGCCCTCACTTCCTACCACTACCAGCCGCTCGTATGCCAGACTGTGGCTCTACCCCACTGCCATGGCCTGGCTTCTGCTTCTCCTCAAGCCATGATTCTACCCTGGAGGGAAGGTGGGGTGGTGGAGAGCCTTAGAAGTGTGCAGAGGGTGGTTGGGCCATGGTGTGGTAGAGCCACAGCCCAGAGACCGAGCGGCTGATCACAGGAGGAGGTGAGGGCAGCGTAGCCCGCCCCCCCTTCCCCATTATTCCTTGTGCTGCTGGTGGTGCATGGGGGCAGTGGGTCTGGAGTGAGTGGCACCAGCAGGGCTGGAGAGGGTGGAGAGTTGTGGATTGGGTGGGGAGGGTGCTGGCACCATGGGTGTCTGGTGCCTCTTGAGTCAGGGGGGGTATGTGCCCCCCCTGACATCAGTCAGTGACCGGGGAGGGTTCCCTGGCAGTCGATCCCACTGGCCAGGAGGGGTGCCTTAGTCGTTCCTGCTGGCCGGGGGGGTGGAGTTCCATCCTGCTGGCAGGGGGGTTGCCAATCTCACTCACCGTAAAAGTGGCTGTGCCAGTTCCAGAGCTCCGTAGCCACTTCTGAAAGCGGTGCGGCCGCTTTTGCTGGCAGCCCTGCTCCCGGGACGGTGCTCGCAGGGGGGGCACTGGTGCTCCCGCCTGCCTCTCCTGCCCGCCAGCTACACAGGGAGTGCGGCCTGGCAGGGCATGCCTTGGTGCTCC